ACATAAAACAATGAAGACACTTACACAGCAGCCTTCAGGGGGAGACCGAGGGGCAGAGATCTTAGGTGCAGGAGACCAGAGCTATAGTTTCATCTTTAAGCTTTTAGCTGAATGATTTCAGCACATCTACTTTAGATGCTTCAGTATTTTTTCTCATCAATAAAATATTGGGTAAGAGTGCATGCCTTCCACACCTCAAATGGCTAGAGTGGAACCCAATGGGACAATCTTTACGAGAGTCCTTTGTGGCGTGTACAGCACTATAAAACCACCTTACGTGATTCATAAAATCTTTAGATCACATGTAAGTTTTAGTGACACAGTTTTTTTTCATGTAGAATATGAGATTTTAAAAAGGTCAAGTTATGTACTAGGTTGAATATTTTATTAGTTTACATTGTAGTGCACAGAAACAAATGATTGCTCCTAACAATATCGTGATTTTCTGTGAATGTTTTCAGTATTGTAGACCTTTACTGAGGTGTAACTGATATATGAACAACGGTATATACTTAATATGTACAACTTGATGAGTTTGAACCTATACATACACCTGTGATACTATCGCCGCAGTCAATACAAGCCAGGTAATAAACATATCCATCTCTTCTAGTTCATGCATATGTTTGTTTAGAACTTTCTGGCAGTAAGCACACTTCAGTCAAGACCCATCCTTCTAACAAATTTTTAAGTGTACATCATCCTATCGCTAATTTTAGGCACTACACTGCACAGTAATCTCCAGCATTTACTCACATTGTAAAACTGAAAGTTTGTATCCACTTTATAATTTCCCATTTGCCGCTCTTGCTATCCCAACAAACACGATTCTATTTAGCTTTTCTTTGTACTAGATATGTAATACAAAATGATGCTCCATATGCTTTGCTTCTTTTGTAATTTAAAATAAAACTACACAGGAGCTTAATGGCAATATGCACTTACATAATCATGTTTACCCTTAATATTCTTATCTCTACTTTTGGAATCTGTTTAAAATTCTCTGCATGGTATTAAACAGGGCAATGTGGCCCTCATTTATCTTTGGCTGAAAAATATATAAAATCTAAATTGTTAAATTTTCTGTTTAAGTAGAAGAAAATTTTGGTAACACTTTCACAGCTAAATATATACTGAAGTCAAAGATTCTGAGCTATTGTCTCTATTTTTCTACCAAGGTCCTAAACCTATGCATGAAAAAAGATAGCTGTAATAGTATTTTAGATCATTTATGAAAGCAGACTCCCTTTCAAGTGAAGGGAGCCATTCTCTGGTTAGTTTTTCCTTTAGAACTGAAGCCCCTTGGCGAAAGGCAAGGCTGAAAAGAGCCCATATCACTGGATCCATATGCCCTGTGACTGAGACATCAGCAAGCTGATGTCCCCAACCCTAAAGCATCCGCCCCGCTGTGTGTAGGAATCTAGATCTCAGAAAGTCTAGAAGCTTTTCATCGTACTTAGGAGAGCCCACTGCATCCTATTTCCGCCCAAATCACTCTAATGACGGCCTCCACAGTCATTTCCTCAAGGATTCTTCCACATCACTAACTTCCATCATGTTATTTCATTATGCTGACCCCAAGGCATTTTATGAAATCTAAAATGTCATTCATAGCAATTATACAGAAGAGCTAGGATCAGAGCTCTCCTTCAGAGCAAAGAAAAAATGTACTGATACTGTTTATACATTATCATAAATATGAAGCCTTCACTTGTTGAGACATGTATTACAGGTTTCTCCAAAGCCCTTGAAAACTTAATTCTGAAATCAAAAAGAAAAATCCAATAGTGCTCAATAAACCTGAAATGATTGTGCTTTCCAGTCACATGCAGGGTTTTATTGACCATAGGATACTAAATTTTCCTACACTGTTTAATTTTTTATATTCCCTCTTCCTATTAATTACACAGAACTACAAAGTCAAGCTTGTTTAGAAAATAACTTGAAAGTTAACAACTAGGTAATATCAGTATAAAGCCTGGGAAGTTTTAGGTTGGAATTTTTAATACTGATTTTGGAAAATTGCTAAACAAGGTTCTGCGTTTATACATGTGCAAACTAAGTTCACTCCAGCAGAATACATGGAGCAATGCGGTAACTTTAGAGATTTGTTTCATGGAAACTGAAACATACTCTGTAGTTGGAATACAAGTTTAAATGCTTCAGTCATTGGCTAGTTGGTAAAATGTATCTGTATGATAAAGCAGTTTCACTGTATTAAGGACTCTAGGGAACTCATGATCGTAAGTGCAGTGATCTTAGTAGTGAGAATTGAAATAAAAGTTTCTTTTCCCTGTTCTAACCCAACTCTCCACCTACAAAAAACTATAAAAGTAAAAAGGAAGTACATTCTCATTAGGATTCAGAGTAAGCTGGGCCCGACTCTGTCTTACTTATACTCCAGAAGACCTTGCAAGCCTGACTCAGTCTCCTAATCCTTAGATTTCTCCTTTGTAAAGTGGTGATAATAGAACAGCACAAGTGACAATGAATGCAAAGCCCTCAGCACAGTTCCCAGCATAAAAGCTCCAAGGAAGGACAGTGGGCGATTTTCTGTATTGTCCCACACTTGTTCCAAACATTCTTTATCTCCTTATTTGCATTCCTTACTCACCAGCCCGAACCCACAGGGCCCTCCCACTTCCTACTCACCCGCCCCCCAAATCTGCTCCAATTCCCCAAGCATTTCATGCTTCTCAATTGCTGCTGCCTTCTCTCTACCGTGAAACATAAAGGGAGAAAGTGGAGTTTATTTCTGCAAGCTGCTGTGAGCAGAGCAATCTGACTAACCAACTAAAAGCAACAACCTTAATTCTCCTGGCAATATCAGCAGACTCAAAGAACAATGCGGGAACACAGGGTAAAAAAGTAAAACCTTTAGGCAGTATTTGCGGAATTTTTTTTTTTTTTTGTCTTTTCTTCCAGTACCAGGAATTGAACTCACAACCTTGCGACCTTGCTCTTGCCAGGCAGGCATTTTGCCGCTGAGCTAAATTGCCAGCCCCTGGGGAAGTTATTTTTGTACTGGACAAATGCCACATAATCAGGCAAATCCTGCCAAAGGAGTTTACACCTTCCTCACTATCACTGGTGAGATGTTCCGTGTTCTCTGTAGTCCGATGCTCTGATTTCAGAGTCACTGAAATATCTTTTACTTAAACCAAAATCAAACTAACAAACGAGGTGTAGGAGCCAAAAGCGTTTCACCAGAGAGAGAGCAAAGGGACTGTGGTAAAAGCAGTAAAAGAAAAACAAAGAAGAACGCAAGAGACAGGGAAGGAAAGGACCAGAAGAGGAGTGTAATTATGAAGCATGAATCATGAACAACGCTCTCTGCCCCATTTTCTAAAGGAAAACCTGAGGCATATCTGACCACCTCAGCAAAGTTAACACAGAAGTGTTACTGGTGGGTGCTGTGTAGGGCCATGATATATGTGTTTGATTTACAAAGACCTGGAATACCTCCCTAAAGAGTTGGGACCAGAAAAATTTCACTCCCAAAGAAAAATGAGTACATTTAAAATCCAGTCTTAACCAGCAAATACTATAAGATAATGAAATTCTTTTTTTTTTATAACAACACAGAGTATAAAATCACCAAATAATGTCTGATTCAACAGGCATATTTTCTATCCTCACGAATACTTTTCATTTTTCTTTAAGATCTGAAGAATATTTTCACATTACCATGCTTGGTTTCTCCTTCAATGTTACCAAGTTTTTGCTCAAACTATTTTGTCTCTTCTTAATTTAATTATCCAATTTGAGGGAGGGGTATCATTTTTATAAACCATTACAAAATTTAGAAAATATAGCTAGCAAAAAATATCTAGATTTTATTGAAATATGTAAACTATACATACTCGAAAACATGATTCCAAAGTTTCAAGTCTAAATCAGCTGAATACATTACCCACTCCAAATCAAGGATTAAACAAAAGAAATTATATTTGCATTGATGTGTGAATCTGCATCCATTCTTGGTAGCATGAAATGTATGCAATTGCTCAGCTCTAGCAGGCCTGGTAGCCACATTACCATATTATTCAAATGTATCTATCATTTATATGTAAATAGACAAGATGAATGGCTTCTTCCTAAGACAACAATTTTCACATGACAAACACACACAGGCAGACATTAGCAAGATAAAAATGCTGCAAATATTCATTCTTTTGTGTTTTTTAAGAAAAAAATGAAAACTATTTCAAATTTCTTAAAAAGTGGTGTGGTAATTACAAAATGGTGTTTTAAGACATTCATAACACCAATAGCTTTTCTTCTCCATAGAAGTCTGCCCCGATGTCATTTGTGTCTTACAAATTACATGCTCTCAGATCCATCTGTGAAAATTGGGATGCTAATTATCATGGTTACATTTCATGATTCCATAGTTAAAGGCTGAACTGGTGCCTCACAAATACCATATGTTTTTCTAAGGGAAATGAAGAAAGATTAATTATGAGTTCAAGTCCAAGTCTTCCAGCACTAATACGCTGAACACAATAAGATCATTACATTGTGTGCTATGTAAATTGGAAGTGTTAATTAATAGCTGCATACCAACCTAGAGGGAAAACTTTGAAACGTAAATTGTAAGTCGAAAGCTTTCTTCAAAAAAGTCTCCATAAGGATGATTTTGTAAAGCCAAGTTATAAATCCAAAGGAAAAATATTTTGATTGTTTTTGAACTTCCTTGATACTAATAATCATCATGCTGCTTAATAATTATGTTTGAGAAGCCTAAAAATTACAATGGTCACAGGCTATAAATAGATAATATATTTGAGGAAAATTCAACTTAAAATTTTTCTGGATGTGTTTTAAGATACATATTCAAAAATCTCTTATAAGGCCACTAGTTTATGCAAAATTATGTTTCATAGACTGTACTCAGATACTATATTCACTTGAGCACAGCAATCTATAAACAAAACTCCATGACAGCACTGTAAGGATTTTATTCGTATTTTACAAGTATGAATTCCTGCTTCACTTACCACATACTCAAAAACAAGAGTCAGCGTTTCCTTGGTATGGATGATGTCATGAAGTAGCACTATGTTAGCATGTTTTAGTCCTTTTAACAGAGAAGCTGTAAAATAAAGGAGACAAAGAGACAATTTATCATGGGTAACAATCAACTAATATGCTTCATTATCATTTTGGCACGCGTCAGAAGAAAGATATCTACTTTTCCACATTCCAAGCCAGTAACAATAACAATTAAAAATCATGGTCAGAGGAATGAGGTTTTCATTTAGATAAAGTTCTCCCAATTATTTCATTTGTCCTTTGTCACTCATCTCCATTTCGGTTCTGTACGTTCAGAGAACACATCTAGGGTGATAATTCTTCAAAATTTTTAAGGTTTGTTTTATTGACAATTACTGACTAAGGATATTACTTATCTTTGTATAAATTCCATGTGTATAAGATAGGTATCTTGCTTTATGGTGGATGGAGAGTTCTATAAATCTTAAATAGATCATCCTGTTTGATGATGTTGAGTTCTTCTAAATCTTTGTTGATTTTTCTGAGTAGTGATTACTGGAAAAGTAGTGTTGATGTCTCCAACTATAATTGTGGATTTGTAAACTTATCTTTTGGGTTCTCTAGTTTTCTACTTATATACTGAAGCTCTACTGTTCACAGCATACACATTTAAGACTGTTATTCCTTCTTTGTAAATAGACCCTTTTATCAAAAATATGTCACTCTTTGTCCCTAAAAATTATTTTTGCTCTCAGATCTGTTACATATTAGTAGAGCCAGTTGAACTTTCATTTGACTAGTGATTATATGGTATAGTTTTTATGGTCCTTTTTTCTTTTATCCCACCAATACCACTGTATTTGAAGTAAGTATTTGACAAATTGCATATAGTTAGGTCATGTATTTTTAAAATTCATATTGCCAATCTCTGGCTTTTAATTGATGTATTTAGGCCATTTACATTTTTTGTTTTTTTGTGGTACCAGGAATCGAACTCATGACCTCAGGCTTTACAGGCAAGCACTTATGCCTCTGAGCTACACCCCTGGCCCGCCTTCTACATTTAATGTCAACATTAATATGTGGGGTCATATCTTATTGCATCTGTTTTTCCCTTGAGCACCCTGCAATTTGGTTTCCATTTCTGATTTGATTTTGTCACCTATATGTATCAGAATTCTTCACTGATTCATACTTTACCATTTTTCTTATTTCTGTACTTTTAATTCAACAATGATTTTTGATCCATATACCCAAAAAGATAAATGAGAATTTTAAGTTCATACTATAGTGTTGTATATAGTTTTAACTTGATAGCTGATTTTTAGAGTTTTATCAGTTAGAATACACTTGTTCTTATAACAGTTTTGTATATATCTAGGCTACCTCGTTCTATTCCTACTCATTTAATGGAAGGCGCTCCTACTGTGGAAGTCCTCACCAGTTTTGCTTGCTTCTAGTTTTTGTAAATCATGCTGGTAGAAGATATTGGGTGGTGAGAATTGAGATGCAATGTTTATTTCACATTTCCATGAGATCCTTAATTTCCCCCTTTTCCTTCCTTCTTTATGCTCATTATCACGGTCTTCAGGGGTTGCTACCATTTCTCTACACATCTTAATCTCGCTTGGAAACAACACTTTCCAGGCACCACTGTTTTCTCTTACCGTGCCTCTCCTTTCCTGTAGCTGTGCTCTGAGACATGTGGCATCCCAACTTTCACTTTCTATAGTGTTTTTTTTCCTGTGCTGAAATCAAGCCCTGCATCTATACTCTCTTCCAGTTTCTTAAACTCATAAGCTTCCTAGGCACAGCGGTCTACATGTACAGACCTGATGCTCCTTTCTCATGGCCCCAAAGTTATGGGTCATGTGCATTTTATTTGTTCTCCCCGCTAAATTATTACTTTGGGTGAGTGGGAATCAAGATCTGGTAGTCACCATTCATTTCTTCTCTAACTCCCTACCACATAGCAGCATGGGGGCTTTTGCTTACCACTGGTATATCCCTACTGCTAGGTCAAGGCCCGATACACAGCAGGAAGCGAAATGCACTGACTGCATTTTGACCAGGAATGGGGTGGCTCCTCACTGAATCAAAGGAACCAGCAGCCACACAACAGCTCTTCCCCCATTTGGAGCTACCCTCCCCCTACTCTAAGACCAGCTCCAGCTCCAAATCTCACGCTGGTAACATTCAGCTTCAGTACTAGGCCACCGCCTATCTATTCCTCCCAATCAGAGATGACCAGTACTAGTGTTAGAAAGTTCAATTCCTGGACAAAAAAAATGCATTTCCGCTTCTTAAATTCCATCCTTTATACCAAATAAGCCTCTTGTCCTATGATGAAAAACAGGAATGAAACAATCCCAAGGATTATAATCAGACTCTTTATGACACTGCTCATTCACAGAGAGAAGGAAGTACAAGACACAAAAAATGTAAAAACAGACATTACAATTTCAGTCTTTATGAATAATACCACAAAAATATAGTTGGGCATTTTTTAACTTCTTTTGAATTAGCTCCTTATAATGAATTGTTAAAAATGGAATTATAGAGTCAGAAGACACAAATACATTTAAAAATAGTATTCATAAAATTTTGGTGGTACACTTAAACTTACACCTTTCTAATTCCACGTAAAAGTAACCACAAAACAGGGGAAAATATGTAAAGATAATATTTTACAAACCACATAATCTATCTTTTCAAATAATTGAAACCACATTAATATATTTTATATACTAAGTACAAACAGTAATTTAAGACTAAACCTTCATTCATAAGAACAAAAATAATCAAAATGATTTCCTGATATAGCAATGACAATTCTAGTAAAGCATTCAAAGAAGAGAAATTTCCTCTATCATTCCTTTAGAAACACTACATCCTCCATTTTGGTGTTAGTATAAGCATCGTGCAACTTAAAGGGAAAAAAAGCAAGATGCTTTGAACTGTTACAAAAAGAAATTGTAATGATTCACTCATTCATCAAATACTCATTCAGAATCTAGTTACAAGCAGTGGTGGCCCTGAGCAAACTTTGACCCCTGCACAAACACTCAATAGTATCACATCTTTAAAAAGCAAGATCTACACCAAGACCCAACCCTATGCAAACTATGGCATTGGAGTAATAACGGTATGTCAACACAAACTCCGTGATTACAACAAGGCGGGGCTGGGTGACGGGGAGATGCTGTGGCTGGAAGGGTTGGGCACCTATGCAAGTCTGCAGGGTGTAAGGGAGCTCTTCACACTTCAGGCTCAGTTTTGTTCTAAATCTAAAATTGTTCTAAAAATGAACTCTTTGTTTTTTTCTATTTTTTTTTTTTTTTTAACCGGGAATCGAACTCATAACGTTGCACTTGCCAGGCAGGTGCTGTGCCGCTGAGCTAAATCCCCAGCCCCTAAAATTGAACTCTTATTAAAATACATAAAACTTCGAAAGAATCGCTCATGCTTTAACATATTAAAAGAAAAAGCAAATCTAGATGATTTAATCTGTCACTCAAATACAGTAGTGTTCTAGCTATATAATCATCATATGGGGCAGTCTCAGAGAAGGCAAAGACAAGCAGACTGTTCTGATGGGAAATCAAGGACTAGGAGCTCCTGTTCTCACTGCTGCGAATTTTCCTGTCTTCCCCAGGCAAAGCTGTTTCAGGACAATACACCATATCCTTTACCTAAAAATAAACTTACAGATCCATAATTGGTCAAATGAAGGGTATTCAGACTGACAACTGCTGGGAGTGGCTGGTTCCAACACTACATGACAAGAGGTATGAAACTGAACCATTGAAAACCAGCAACACGTATGTTCCCAGAAAAGAGAAGCATGAGCTACCTAGTGTGGGGAGGAATGCTCTTCACCACCCATACATCTGCCAAGTATAACTTCATGCTACACACTTAGAAAGTTTTAAAATAATTTTTTTTAAATGTTATTTTTTTTGTTTTTGTTTTGTTTTGTTTTGTTTTTTTCTGGTACCGGAAATCGAACTCACAACCTTGCGCTTGCCAGGAAGGCCCTGTGCCACTGAGCTAAATCCCCAGCCCAGTTTTTAAATAATTTGAAGACAACCTTTTATGTGAGCTTCACAAATTAGTATATGAGATAATGATTACAAAATGCTAACAGTGCATGACTTTGAAGAAACAAGTATAGACTTATTTTAGTTTAGTACTGCTAATTCAAATAATTTAAAGTCTTCTCTTATAATTATTCCACTACGTTTCAACAATTAAGATCTTACTACATAGCATTCAGAAATCATTCCGGGGAATAACTTCACATTTGCTTGTTTTTAAAAGGATATGCATTTGTGTACTACTCTTCTGAGGTAGAAGACTTCCCTTACAGATCATTATTTCATTTTTTTTTTCAGATCATTATTTCAAACTTTCAGCACAGTGTCTGAAGATCAGGACCCTGTACGGTGCTTAACACCTAGCCAGTGCAAGAACGTTTGCAGGTAAACCCAAGCACCTACTGATATAGCACCTTGTAAGAAAGGAAAATGGTTTTGTGAAGCAAGCTTTGTAAACATATTATGTAACATTATTTGCAATCTTGTCCAATTTCATTTTTCAAGTTGGCCCCTTACATTGTCAAGTTCAATGAGGATCCATCCTTATGCATAACAACTCCACAGTAGTACTGAGCTTCCACTTCACTGAGAATCCTACACCCTTAGGAACTGTTTCCCTGTTCCCCTCCATTACTGCCTGTCTTCTTTCACCACTTACACCTAAATTTTCTCATTTCTCAAAGTAATGTCTTCACAAACACCATGTTCCACTGCATTTTTCCTTCAATTTCAGTAACAACAAATTCCTACCATCACTAATCTTGGGGAAAAAAATTTTTTTTTCCTGACAGTATCTAATATAGAAAAGAGTTGTGTCATTTTAGTATTTTTGACCACTTCTACATGAAGTCTAAAAGCTCTGCATCACTTTCTAATAAGAGATAGTTCATCAATGTTCCAGAATTCATTTAGAGATACAATTAAGTAAGTACCAGTATCTGAATTGAAAACACCCCCCTTCCCTTCGGAGATTAACATAATGAATTCATAGCTGGAAAAGGAC